GGGGGGGGGGGGGGCGCGGTAGGCCTGCTCGGAGGGGAGGCCGTTTGCGAGGCCGGTAAAGTAGACGTCCCAGGAGGCGTGTACCGAGGAGCGGTCCTGCTTCCAGAGCTTGTGCATCTCTTCGGCGTAGTAGGCGTTTGTGGTGTTGATGAAGGTGTCGGAGCCGGTGGGAGCGCTGGGCTTTGCGGGAGCGGGGCTGGCCTGGTGTGTTTTTGAGGAGGACTGGTAGTGCCTGAGCGAAGCGGTGAGGGCGGTTGGCTTTGCGATGCGAGCCGAGGCGGATGGGAGGGTGGAGGCCCTCCAAGCCGCACGGGGCATGGATCGGGAGGTGATGCTTCGCAGCATGCTGACGAGGCGGAAAGGGGGGTTGGTAGCCTGACGACAAGCTAGGCCTGATGGTGTTGAGGTCGAGGGTGAAGTGAAGGTGGGAGGACAAGGTGGCGTGCCAATCAATCGCTCTCGGAGACGGACTTGTGGAGGGACCAACAGCTCCCTCTCTCTCTCCCTTGGGCAGCTGAATTTGGCGCGCGTCTTTGGCCGATGGATGCGATGCGACGTGACTGGTCAGCGCCTTTGAACTGGCTTTGACCGGCTCTGCTGGCGCAAAACGCTGGAAAAGGCGGAACGAGGAGCGAAGCCTCGACGAGGAAGAAGGGTTTTTCTTTTTGGAATTTGCGGGAAAAGTTCAGCCGCCACGCAGCGCCGCTGGCTCTCTGTTTTTTCGATTTCTTTTCTTTTTCTTTCTTGGATTCGCTCGTGTGTGTGTGTGTGTGTTGATCGTGGCAGCGTGGACCGGTCAAAGGCTCTCTTGCAAGGCCGGTGGGCACGGAAACAAGCGTGGAGCTCCAGTCCGCTAGTCCGCTGGACGATTAAGACCGCAATTCGCCGGTGTTGGCCAACAAGTCATGTGGGCCGCCCATCGGAGCGCCCAAAGCCTTCGCATCGGAATATTCCGTCCGGCCGCGTGCGAACCTGGGCATCGGCCACCTCCTTTGCATCGGGCAGCCAGGCGTGCGGCCAGGTTCGGCTTTCGGACGCTTGGAGCCGATGCCAATGCGCCCTACACCAGGTCTCCCAGGATCGACGAGGGGGCGCGCTCCGATCACGCACTGCAAGCACTTGCGGCCGTACGCTGCGACGAGCAAATCACAGCGCGCCAAATTCCAACCTCGGCGTCAACGGCACGGAGAGATCCGCCTTGCCTCCTCCTCCCCCACACACCTTGCCCGGACCTTGGAAACAAACCTGAGCCGGCGACGGATTCTTTGTCATGGCAAGCCGATGCCGAGTTACACCGTAGGTTCTTGTCTATAGTATGCATCGGGAGCGACGATGGGCAAGTGCCGATGTCGTCGGATGCGGCCGGATCAAAAGTGTAAGACTTGTGTCAAGCTAACAATACCCCAACAACTAGTCTCGCACGAAATAGCGCAGCGATGTGAGATCGAATCTGGCTGCGCTTCGGCTCCAGGCTTTCGTGACGACGCCGCACCTTACGTCATGGCTGAAACTTGCCGTCACTGTAAGACCTGGCCCTGCTGAGCTGGAAAAGACGGGGCCTTGCGATGCCATGTGGTGGTCTGGACGCCCTGTGAACAAAACGCCAGCACTGACTCGACGGGTTGACCGTTGACTTGACGTCGATGATGTCGCCTGTCCGCAGTATCGCCTACAAGAGGTCTCGAGGCAGTGTTCACGATGATTCGTTCCGCCGCTCAGAAGAAGAAGGATGGCCCAACAACGACACGCCCTTGGCGATCAGTCACGAGGGTGGACGACTGTCGCTTTGAGTGCATGCGCGACATACAGTCGCAAGGGGCACAGAGTGCAAAAGGCACGGAGGCATGGATTGCGCGCGGCAGGGTGCTGTGCGGTTTGACGTCGTTGCGCGTCTGGCGCGATCCCGCCCTGCGTCGTGCGTATGGCGCTCCGTTAGGCGGCAGCAACACCTCGAGACAGGGACAGACGCCTTGAGACAGGAGTTCCGGTTCCAAGCTGGGGCCTCGAGCCTGTCTTGCCTTGCAAGGGTCCTCTTTGGTTGCTGGCTGGCCAGCTGACTGGCTGCCAAGCCCAGGCGAGAGAGCAATTCAGCGGTGACGAGTATTTTTGGGATTGAGGCGCGCGCGAAGCGTGGGTCGAGTGCGCAATCCTGCATGCCCGCCTCAGCAGTGATGAGCGCTCAACAAACGAGCGGCGTCTATGGCGTCCACACGGCTGACAGCTTGGGACAGCCATGGCCTATGCCTGTCTGCTCGCCCCCGCAAGTCGTATGGCGACGACGACGACGACGACGTTGGGCGCGGTTGAGCTCGAGAGGCGGTTGACGAGAAAAGCGACAGGGCAGCAGCCGCCGCGGCCAAACGTAATTGCGCGGTTTCGGCTCGAGTCGAGTGGGCTCCGGGTCGAGTGACCTCAGTCGGCGGCGCCCTCTCTCTGGCCGCGCCTCCATGGCGCCATCAGCTTTTTAGGACTGCCGTCGGCCAGCCAACTTGGCTCGCTACCTTCCTAATCCCCGTTCCTGCCTTGTGCCTTGTGCCTTCTCCGCAGCCCACCTCCACCGACCGTCACTTCATCCAACGCGCATCGCCACCACCACCACCACCACCACC